TGGAGGCAGCCAGCCATGATGAATAGCTGGCACCTGTTTTGTACCCTTAAAGGAAGCTTGGCCAGATATGTCACTGGCCCATGGTTCTTGTTAGTTATTCAAAAACCCAGGTCACCTCTTCTGAAAAGTCTTTTAGGTATGAGGCATCTTTGACCAATTTCTGGGCATATTCCCAACCACCTAACCCCACCCTAGCTAATTCCCTTCTTCCTCCAGTCTGAGGGGACCAACACAGGTCCAGGAACTGGGAGGAGGGAGAAGAGAGAGGAGGGAGAAGGAAGGTGGGGGAGCATGGTGACCACCATTCACAGGGCACTTATCCTCCCAGTACCAGGCCAAGTGCTCTATGGGGCTACATCAGTCAATCCTCCACAACACCAGGGAGGCAGGGCACTGCTATGGCCTGGGACACTGAATCGCAGAGAGGTCAAGCAACTTGCTCCAGGTCTCCCAGCTGGTAAATGGCAGGGTCTATCTGACCCGTACTCTTTTTTTTGTTTGTCTGTTTGTTTTTGAAACAGAGTCTCACTCTGTTGCCCAGGCTAGAGTGACTGCCGTGGCTTCAGCCTAGCTCACAGCAACCTCAAACTCCTGGGTTCAAGCAATCCTCCTGCCTCAGCTTCCCGAGTAGCTGGGACTACAGGCATGCGCCACCATGCCCGGCTAATTTTTTTCTATATATTTTTAGTTGGACAATTAATTTGTTTCTATTTTTAGTAGAGACGGAGTCTCAGTCTTGCTCAGGCTGGTCTCGAACTCCTGCCCTTGAGCAATCCTCCCACCCTGGCCTTCCAGAGTGCTAGGATTACAGGCATGAGCCACTGCGCCCAGCCTAACCCATACTCTTAAAGACTATGAAGTGCTCAACCTGTATCCAGAAGTGGTTTCCATTCTTTCTCCTTTGCCTCAAACAAGGCTGAGACAGAATGGCTCCATGATGTCCTAAGGGCTATGGAGAAAATGGTGCCTCCAAGAAACCAATACCATGAAGACCTTAGGGATGCATATAATTTTCAGACTTCTAAAAGTTCTCAGACTGGCAAGGATGAACCATATTTAAACTGCTAATGGAGCTGGGCAACTACAAGTTAAATGAGTTTCTATGCCGGGCTAACCATGAGACAAGGTCCTATTAGTTACTGAACATAATAACTATTATTAAGAGACTCTCGCAGTGCCAATAAAAGTTGGTCCTAAAAGCTTTTAAGAGACAGAAAGTGGCTGGAACACCCCCACTCCATGGTTGACCAAAACATACTTCTGGACCAAGGGAGACTTCAAACCATGATGAGACTCAAGTAAAACCTCTAATTTTAATGCTGGCTAAAGCTCAGCAATAACTGAAGGATGAATCTTGTTATAACCATCAGTATGACCAAAATTATTTCATAAAACATTTTCAGGCCACAGTCTCTTTTTTCCTAAGAAAATGAATCTCCCTCTTCCCCATTCTGATCAAAATTCAGCTATAGGCAAAATTCCCTAAAAATAGAAAAAGATTCATTAAAATTCTTCACAGGTGATGGGTTTTCTCTTTGTGTTTTTCTGTGTTTTTGCAACCTTTTTGCAAAGAGTAAGAACTACAAATGTAAATTTTTTTTTTTTTTCTTTTTTTGAGACAGAGTCTCACTCTGTCATCCAGGCTGGAGGGCAGTGGCATCATCGTAGCTAACTGCAGCCTCAAACTCCCAGGCCCAAGTGATGCTCCTGCCTCAGCCTCCTAAGTAGCTGGGATTACAGGCATGTGCCACCATGCCTGACTAATTTTTCTATTTTTAGTAGAAATGGGGTCTCGCTATGTTGCTTGTTTTCAATTCCTGAGCTCAAGCAATCCTCCCGCCTCAACCTCCCAAAGTGCTAAGATCACAGGAATGAGCCACACAACTGTAACTTTTTGATGTCTTAAAAAAACGTATTAGAAGTAAATTTAAGAGACATGCTGAGCTGATGGCTTTCCTTTGGGAAAGCAGTAAGACAGGAGGATTAAAATCTCAGATGAGGGTTTGCAGAAAAGACAGCCACAGACTCAGTGGCCAATCTGGGCATGCCTCATTTTCTCATCTGTGAAACAGGGATTACGATAACTACAGCTCAGAGTTGCAATGAGGTTTCATTTAGCTATTATTGACAAGCATTTATCACAATAGCTAGTACTTAATATATATTCACTATTACTAATTAAACTATTAATATTAATATGACTGTGACAGTAGCTCCCTATTAAATTCATTTTCTGAGCTTCATGTGGCAAATGAGAAAAGGCCTTGTTCTCTAACAGCTGAAGCAAATCATAGATGGTCAGGTAATGAACATAAAGTCCTGAGTTCTTTTTTCTTTCTTTTTTTTTCTTTTTTTGTGAGACAGAGTCTCACTTTGTTGCCCAGGCTAGAGTGAGTACCGTGGCATCAGCCTAGCTCACAGCAACCTCAAACTCCTGGGCTCAAGCAATCCTTTTGCCTCAGCCTTCTGAGTAGCTGGGACTACAGGCATACGTCACCATGCCCGGCTAATTTTTTCTATATATATTAATTAGTTGGCCAATTAATTTCTATTTATAGTATAGACAGGGTCTCACTCTTGCTCAGGCTGGTTTCAAACTCCTGACCTTGAGCAATCCGCCCACCTCAGCCTCCCAGAGTGCTAGGATTACAGGTGTGAGCCACCTCGCCCGGCCAGTGCTGAGTCCTTTTAAGTTCAGCATCACAGCTGCAAAAACAACGCTCTACTGGGACCTTAGACCCAGTTGTCTATTTGACTACAGCTTCTAAAGGGCCACTGTTTTGCATTTTCAGAAAGCAAGTACACTGCAAACAAGTAAATATACCGATCAACCCATTACACTAGAGACTGTTCATTTGATAAGTTATTTATTAATTTTTTTTTTTTTGAAACAGAGTCTCACTCTGTCACTCAGGCTAGAGTGCCGTGGCATCAGCCTAGCTCACAGCAACCTCAAAATCCTGGGCTCAAGGGATTCTCCTGCCTCAGCCTCCTGAGTAGCTGGGACTACAGGTACACACCAGCACATCCCACACCCAGCTAAATTTTTTGCTATTTTTAGTAGCGATGGGGTCTTGCTCTTTTCCAGCCTGGTCTTAAACTCCTGACCTCAAGCAATCCTCCCGTCTCAGCCTCCCCGAGTACTAGGATCACAGGCATGAGCCACTGCACCCAGCCTATTTATTAAATTGCTACTAAGTGCCAAAGTCAGAGACACAGAGGTGAAGCCCCTGCCCCTGCACAGTGATGACCCATGGGAAAGTAAGACAGGCAAGTTAGGAGACACACAGCTCAGTAAGAGGGCTGTGGATGTTCAGACAGGTGTCCATGCTCTCCAACCTTGAATGTGTGACTCCCCACGGATATCAAATGAGCGCCAAGGAAAGGAACAGGAGAGGCCAGGCGGGGAGGCTGCTTGAGCTCAGGAGTTCAAGACCAGCCTGAGCAAGAAGGAGACCCAGTCTCTACTAAAAATAGAAAAATTAGCCGGGCATGGTGGCGCATGCCTGTAGTCCCAGCTACTTGAGAGGCTGAGGCAGAAGGATGGCTGGAGCCCAGGAGTCCGAGGTTGCTGTGAGCTAGGCTGACGCCACAGCACTCTACATAGGGCAACAGAGTGAGACTATCTCAAAAAATAAAAATAAAATAACAAAGAAAGGAAACTGAACCCCCATACTCACTCCCTCACCTTCAAAATTAAAAAAGAAAAGGGAACAGGAGAGACAATTATGGTAAGAGATGCAGGAAGGGTAGCATGACACCGGATCACTTCCTGTAAAGGATGCCTGACAGCAGAGGCGTCCCCCAGGTGGCAGCTCGCCTCCTTCAGTGGAGAGAAAGAAGGTGACACGCCACTGCCCAGGTGCTTTCAAGCCAAGATCTGCCAAGGGGCCTCCACACAGAACGCCGTCCAGATTCCGCCCAGGGTGG